GGAAAAAAAATAAAGTTGTGATGAATGCGATCAAAATGCAGCACTTTTTTACCCCCTGCCCCACCCTGATTCCTTCAGTGGATGTATATCATCTGAAGATTTGGCTCAAAGCATTGGGTAGTTATTAAGATAAGCAATGGAGGTTGCTGTCTAATAAAGGCAGATCAGCTAGTCTGGTGATTAGTGATAACCCACTGTTCTGACTTATTTTTTTTTCAAAAAAGCAAAATAAGAAAGACTTTCTGTAGAAAAAAAGCCACCCTAAGGTTGATCCTTCTTGTTTAACTTCTTAATCTGCTTAGCTAAAGCTTGCATGGTACCATAATACCATTTCTGCAGAGTGCTGATAATCTCCCATCTCCCCCTCCCCAATGCCCCTTCCCCCACACCAGACTTACCAGCCCCATGCTGGTCTTCATGCTGCCTGGCTGCATATTGGAATCAGATCAGTATCAGCTGATAAGGCTCTTTAAAAAGTGACTGCAGTATTGGCTCAAAAAATCTGTCAGTGCACCTCTACTGGTAACCTCTAGAGTGCCAATGGCTTTGTGTAGAGGAGCACCTTAGACTTCATGATGGGATAGATTGGGCTCTTTAACCCTGGTTGCCAGCCAGTCTAGGAGTGGAGCAGCTTTCGTAGGTAAGTTGGGGGGGGTGCGGGATCCAGGCCCCCATTGGGAGGGAGTGGGGCTAGGGCTGCTGCCCAGCTTGGGGCCCGGGGCTACAATGCATGGCTGCAGGGCCCCAGTGGGGAGTGGGACTGGGCCATGGGCAGCTTGTCCAGGGAGTGGGGAGGTCGGGCATGGGCTGCCTGTTGAGGGCTCAGGCTCACACTCTGCTGCTCTCTCCCAGGGCCTCCTTGGCCCATGCAGCCCAGTGCCACAGGACATAGTGGGGCTATGCGGGGAAGCTCGTTGCTGCTGTGAGCTCTACTCTACCCTGGTGATGCATCCCCCATGCACGCAGTGGCATGGGATTGTGCTCCTCACTGCTGCCGCACAGGCGGGGAATGCATTGCTAGGGCAGCACAGAGCTTGCAGTGGCAACAAGCTTCTCCACACAGCCCTGCCGTGCTCTGCAGCACCAAATCACACCCGCTGGGCTGTGGAGGCCCCAGGGGAGAGCAGTAAGGCAGGAAACCAAGCCCACAGTAGGCAGCCCACCCCATGTACAGATCTGGGGGCACGGGTCCCCCCTCTGGACCCCGCAGGAATTCATGCAGTGGTGGGGAGCTGGGCACCCCCCGCCCCGAGCCCACAACTGCTGCCTCCTGCCAGGGGCAGGGGGCTGTGGACCCAGATCCCTGGCCCTCTAGCCCTGGTAGCTGAGGGCCCCTTCCAGCAGGGCTGAGGGGTGCAGGGGGCTGTAGGAGGAGGCGAGGAGCACCAGCAGTGCCAAGAGAGTTGTGGGG